TTGTTATCAATTCCAGGGATGACCAAGCAGTAGCATAAACATGTATGTAAGCTGCTTGATTTAAAGTAACCTGCCCAACACCTGTTGATAATATGGACTGCAGTTGAGTTATCTGACCAAGAAAGAACCCATTTATTCCTGAATCTTTCGACACATAATTACCACCAAAATTAGCAGAAATTCTAAGAAAATAATATCCCTTTACTGACCAACAGAACTCCCAGTGAGAGGTACACATCAATCCCCCACTGAAAAACACACAGAACCTGAACTGGGCCAGCAGAGATATCTGAGCGAACCTTAATATCTGCCTCCAAAATCTATTCTGTCTGCCAGAATGAAATGCCACTGAAAGCAGGAGGCAAGAATTGCTGCTTGCCCAGTAGATAATCCTGCAGTCTCCTTGTTAATCAAATAGAATAGTGTGGCCATCTGGCACCAGGTGTGGCTGCTGCCAAGTGAGAACAGAAGATACATGCTAGGACAAAGACACAAAACATAACATTCAAGCATCCATTTAAAAACTAGCTGTTTCAGGAGCCCAAGGCAGTCATCCTTAAGCACCAGAGGTTTTTGACTTAGGGCTTTTCTTCACTGCAACAGTTAGCTGCAGGGCCGCCCGGGGGTGGGGGGGGGGGGCAAGTGGGGCAATTTGCCCCAGGCCCCGGGCCCCGCAGGGGCCCCCACGAGAGTTTTTCCGGGCCCCTGGAGCGGGGTCCTTCACTTGCTCCGGGGCCCCTGGGCCCCTGGAGCTTCTTCCGCTCTGGGTCTTCAGCTGCAATTTGGTGGCAGGGGGTCCTTCCGCTCCGGGACCCGCCGCTGAATTGCCCTGAAGTCCCGCGGCGGGGAGTCCTTCCGGCCGAGACCCGCCGCTGAAGACCCCAGGCCCCCTGAATCCTCTGGGCGGCCCTGGTTAGCTGAAGTTAGTACACTTGAGTTACTTCACTTGAGCTAGCCTAGCTTAAGTGAGAACAGAGTGAGAGTGACCACATTGTGAAACAACATTCTTGCTACACAAAGTGGTAGGAGTGAAGCCGAAAAAAATGTTGTAACTCCAGCTGCTGCATACCCACTGCATTTCTAGCTAGTGCATCAACCTTAGCACGGGTCAGGCTCGCTGGCTCAAGCTTAAAGCCCCACCTAATTCGAGCTAGAGATTTTTGTGGGTGGATGGGAGTTGGGTTATGGGGCAAACCTGGAGTTATAGCTCAAGCAGCAATGTAGTGAAGACAAGACCTTAAAGTAATACACTGTCTGCCATACCCAATTCATTCTCAAAGAAATCAAGACAGTCTTACTGTCCAAGTTGCCAGCTGGCCATCCCAGCCAGGCCCTGCACAAGGATGAAGAAAGCAGGGAAGAGGAAAAGTGGCTTCCTATATCAGAAATAGTTGCTATCCTCCCTCTCCCCCTACAGAAGTAGAGAAGGGAGACACTAGGTCCAGAGGAAATAGCAGCTGTCCAGGTGATCACAACAGCAGCACACACATATGGGGCTCCCTACAGAACTGACTCACTCTAGCCTCAGTCTCATCCCCTCATGTAAGGAACAGAGGGTTGCTTTCCCCTCCCCCATCCAGCAGATACTCACCAGGCAGTGAAATAGGGCCAGAGACAGATTCCACTCAACCTGCTGGATTCAGAACTATTGCAGCTGCCCCTATTGACTGCAGGATCTGGAGCACAAAGTACCTGAGACTGGTGGATACCTCCAGGGCTGTGCTAGTGTAGCTGCGACCTGTCCCATTGGGAAGCTCCTAGAGTTACTGTGGCTCTCACTTCTGCTGCCACCACCCTCAGGGCCTCCATTAGGGAAGCACTGGCAGACCTAGGGCCTGAACTGGCTGGCTGGCTGAGGAGATCCAAGGGAATTCCTTGGGATTTGGTCCAAGTCAGCACTACCATGTCTACCTGCTGAAGCATAGCAAGGCATCCTGCACCAGAGGGCAGAAGTAGAATGACTTCTTCCCTCCAGCCAGGGTACGATGACCTTCATCCACTATGGGGCAAAGGGAGAGGGAGATTCAGAAGGCAGGGAGGAGCTGGCCTACTAGAAGAGGGTGATGGGACATTGGCTGAAAACCTCCCCTTTCAGGCTAGCTGAAGCCCCAATGAGGGAGGATAGGCTTTCTGAGGAGACAGGAGGGAAACCTGGTTACTGTTGTGAGCCATACTGTAAATGTTTGTTTTAATGTTTAATTTTAATAAGGTAGCATTGTGTTTGGTTAGTTCATGTATTTGTTTTAGTTGCGCTGCCAGCGTGTTTGTCTTTCGGGATTAAAAGTGTAATTGGTTTGACTGTTTGCAGTTTGTTTAAAGTACAGTTAGATTTGAAAGTTTGTTCCATTTACATTTCAAGTGCTATGTGTGGATACATGACGGCATGTGGGTACGTCTGTGAATGTACGTTTTTACTGTGACTGTAGCGCAACTTTTCCCCTCCCATTCTTGCTGCAGTTGTGTGTATGTGTGTGTGTTGTTGGTTTTTTTGCCCTTGTCTATTCATTTATCCACCTGGTACTTGTATAGTTATTCCATATCTGAGGGAAAATTGCTGATTTTGTTTGGCCTTCGGCATACAGTCTCTACAATATCTTTATTTATTTTTATATCTAGTACAGTTCAGAACACTGTGGCAGTAGTGACTGAAGATTCAAGGCAAAAAGACAGCTGAAGTTGTGTGGGCAATACGACGGGCTACATTTTCAAGTGTTATATGGGATTTTTAGTTGTAGGATTCCCATTGATTTTAACAGCTAAAATACTATTCAATATTTTGAAATGTTTCATGTTGCATATCCTTGAACTTCTATTTTTCATGACAAACACATTGAAAAGCAGGGCCTTGGATGTGGAGTTCATGCTAGAACAAAATGTGTAGCATTAGAGGGATGAGAGTTCATTGAGGCAAATAGGTGAAATGAGATAGTGTGTGGTGTATGAGTTGGAAGAAAGAAGAACAATTTAACGAGGAAGAAGCCTCTCATGAACTATAAAAGGTATTAAATAGGCTATGTACAGAGGCAAATTTAGCAGGTATGGTTTTGGGCTCACATTATGTGCAGCTGCGAGGTACATTATAGTACAAAAGGTCAGTGTGTGACTGTGGATCTTTGTGCAGTTTTATAATATAGAAAAAACAATGCAAAAGGGAAACAAAACATTTCTCAGAAAGTGGAGTATAGCAAATTAATCAGACCTTCACAAATGTTGTTGGGTAAAAGGTTTCCTACAACATACACCTCACTTATAAACAAAGTTATAGATCTTGATTGTTATATGCATTTGCATTAAGGGCTAGTCTCATTATTTATTACTATAGCAAAAGGAAAGTGGGCTGTGTGGAGAATTTAAAATGTTATGGGAAGGAAGGAATGGAAACTACCAGTCATGATGAAAGATATTTTTGTAACAGACTCCTGGATGGATAGGGTATAAGATGTAGTAAGGCTGGGTTTATATTAATATTGAAAATTTGAAGGGATTATAGGGATAGTCATCTAGGTCAGATACTGGGAAATTTTGCTAAAAGCATGGCCATACTAGATCAGACCAATGGTCCATCTAGCCCACTATCCTATCTTTTGACAATAACCAATGTCAGATGCTTTAAAGAGAATGAAAAGTACAAGGCAATTATTAAGTGATCCATCCCCTGTCATCCAGTCCCAGCATCTGGCTGTCAGAGGCTTAGCAACACCCAGAGTATGAGGTTGTGTCCTTGACCATGTTGGCTAATAGCCATTGATGGACTTATCGTCCATGAACTTATTTAATTCTTTTTTGAACCCAGTTATAGTTTTGGCCTTCACAACATCCCCTGGCAGCAAGTTCCACAGGTGGACTGTGCGTTGTGTGAAGAAATACTTTCTTTAGTTTGATTTAAATCCACTGCCTATTAATTTCATTGGGTTGACCCCCTGGAAGAAAATCCGAAAGATCTTCTGAAATCGAAATCTCTGGTAGCTCAGAGTTTTACTGCAGTCATCTTCTTCAAAATACAAAAACTGGTAGATCTGAGACAAAAATTGTTTCACTGGAAAACTTGATTAAACTTTAATCTGAAACAAATTGCTTGCTTGCATGATTCATCTGGAGCAAAGTTTGTGTAGGGTGAAGAGAGGCACACCCAAACAAATAGATTTACTTGATGAATGGCAGTGAGATAAAGCTGTGTTAATTACAAGGCAATCTCAGATGGATGAATTGAGATGGTGTTGGAGAATCAGATCAGAAACAAAAATATCTGGTGAGTTGGCATCCACTTCCAACTGGAGAGGAAAGCTCCTGATCCCATTGCATACATGGAATATGTGATTGCCTCTATACTGGAAACAGAAGTGTAAGATGACCACATCAATGACATATAGTAGAAATCTGCAAAGTTTCTGTGGGAGATATGGTTTTGAAACTCAACTGGAGCACAAATTTTGCCATGATCTGGAAGCTGACAGTAACCAGGAAAAAGAGACTTATCATTTGAAGGAAACAACATTCTAAACTTTCCTTTGCTCAGCCTAGCAACACAGAAGATAATGGGTGTGGGTGAAACCTGCTTTCACAAAGAAAATGTGGAGGTAGCAGTTATGATTCTGAGCAGAAGCAAATTAAGGCATAGGTGCTATAAGCCTGTACTTAAGGGGAAAGTTTAGCTATCCATCAAGTCAAATAAAATTAATTTCTGGATTGTTTTGGCCAGTGTATCAAAAATGTTTTTCACACATAACTGTTGTTTTTCCTTTCAACATAGCAGACAAAATTACGGATGGAACACCATTGTACTCTATGGAATTACACCAGGGATGAACTTGGTCTAAATTGTTTAAGTAAAAAGATACAACAACATACCATTACTCAATAAATATATTTTGGGAAAGGAGCATGCAGTAATCTTATGTAATATTTTGAATATTGCTGAACTACCTAAATGTGTGATTTCTAACACAAAATAAAAAAAACAACAAAAGTGCAACTGAACTTTGTCAGCAGAACAAAATAACACCATAGTAATGGTAATGCTATGGTGTATTTACATACCCAACAAGAGAAAATGACAGTCTTATAGTTGTTTACCAGGGCTGTCAGGGATTCTCTTTATATTAAATATGTTTATTATTATTTTTAATAGAGACTCAAGGAACTGAAACAGAGGGAGTTTGCTCGAAATGTAGCTTCCAAGTCAAGAAAAGATGAAAGGAAACAGGAAAAAGCCCTCCAACGTTTGCACAAGTTAGCTGAACTGAGGAAAGAGGCAGCATGGTGAGTGAATAACTACTGAAATGGAAAAAGCACTGGAAAAATAACCCCCAAACTATTAGTTGGGGTTGTGGGACACATGACTGTTAAGATCCTGAGCCCAGAACAAGATGCACATATTTTTATTGCAAGCTCTAAGCTGTATGTATGCAGTAATGTGAGCTGGCACTATGTGAAGAAATAAATGTTTAACGTTACTTTTTTAGTGGAGCTAAAATGACATGTATTTTTAGTTAAAAATATGTTCCATATATATTTCATAAAGCCAGGCACAGTGTTGAAAGCATTAGAGAACTAGGTCAAGCATTTGAAGCTTGGCATTATTTTATTGATGAGGAAAGGATACACTCTATCTTTCCTGGATGTAACAAATCTGTGTGACTTAGAGTTTGAACTGCTCACCTGGGAATGCATCAGGAAATCTAGTTTAAAATTTTAATAGCTAGAGAAACTATATAAGGGAATACCTTAAAAGAAAATGTTCCTTTTTCTGAACCCATCAGGGTGCATAGTCTAACCATAACAATCACATCTCACCAGATATATATTCTCTATTGAATCTGGAAATATATTTCTAGTTGATATTGATATTTCTTAGTTTGAAGTGACAGCCTTTTTACCAAAAAATTACATGCTTATGAAACAGACAACTCAGTGTAAAAGAATTTGAACTACTTTCAGTTTGCTCCAACATAGATCTAACAATCACAGAAAAAATTAGTCGGTGGTTAATCTGTAAATGGAACGTTTATTCAGATGTTGTCTATGGTGAGACCTGCATCTCGCTCGGTGAACTGCCACATTATTCAATTGAATGTGAGGTCTATAGTTTTCTGTTAAAAATTGGTAACATCTGTATGTTGCACGACATATCGAAACAAAGTCCAGCTAAACAAGTGGGCATGTCCTGGATGCAGGTAGGTGTGTATGGAATGAACAGTACAGTCATACAGTTTGTAATTTCTTTGAGGCAACATATATATATTAACAAGAAGTGGCAGGTTTTTTCACTACTGAATCAAGGCTTTGCAACCTTTAAACAACACACAGCTAAATCCTTCTCTCTAACTCCCCATGCTGTGTTAGTGATAATACAAAATGGCATAGCTATTAATGGTATACAGCAGATAGGATGAAAGACAATGGAGCAGCTAGTGTATATACTGAGTTGAAATTGCTAGTTGGACTCCTGGGATAGTGTATGCATCTAGATATGGCTATAAATGCTTAAGACGCACAATTCAGGAGTGTTACTTGCTACATCAGAAAAAAGGCAAACATATTTGTTAAAGTCTGACTATAATGTGAAAAGTGACTGTTAAAATTACACTGAGATTCCATATTTATTCTATCTCAATGACTTGCATATTGAACTTGATTTGTTTACAAGCAAAAATTCTAACTACTAGCTTTATAAACTCATGTGATCTGAAAATTCTCTACAATTCATGTCCAGTAATATGAATTCTGCAATCAGAAATTAGTTTTTTATGTTTTTATTTATGGTACATAAATCCAGCTTGCACATCCATACTGTATTGACTCTTTTTAATGCTAACATAGTAAGTACCTCATTTTGTCAGTATGCTAATATACATGTGTTGGAATAAAGACATATAGGTTCAAACTCCTTAACTGTGCCCAAAATATTTGCAAGTGCATACATGTGTGAGTACAAAAAACATGTTTTCTAGCAAAATTGGCACTTACATGTGTAAAATGGATGAACTTACAAACTTTACTGACAGAATTAAAGATCATTGAAAATGTAGATGAAAAGGAACAGATATAGTTAAGAGGTTGATGTTATTTTTGCAGTTACTTTTCTGATAGATAGATAGATAGATAGATAGATAGATAGATAGATAGATAGATAGATAGATAGATCTGTTGATTCCCATATATTGTTCTAAGTAACTGAGAGTAGGTTCAAAAGCAGCATTAAAATTAGTATAATTTCAACTAAATGAAAACCTTATTAAAATATTTAATTGACAAAATAGAATGCAATGTACATTTTAGGACTAGGAGAGTAAAGAATCTGATCTAGCCTTATGGATTAATACCACTGGCTCATGGTGCGGGTGATCCTGTGTGTCAGGAATAGAGCAGTGAGCTGCCAATTAATGTGTTTTTAAATTAGTATCCAAAACTACAGCAAACACTTTTCATAAAAATAAATTGTGGAAAACCCAGTTTTCTGTCTAAAACAGAACACTTTCGACCAGCCCTAACTCCTCTAATGTGTTCTACTTCAGGTGGGCTTTGAGGAATTTTCAAAATATTCAGCTAGTGCAGAAGCAAGGATCAGTCCTTCCCAGGAGGGCAGATTGACATGAACATGTAATCCCTGTGTTCCATGCTCTCCAATGGCACACACTATTGAGTTCTGCCTGTAGTTCAGATATTAGTAACAATCTGTAAAGGCATATATAGTTTGGGATACAGTTAGTCTGCTGTGATGTCTTAGTTGTTAGTCTTAATTTGGCAGGTAGCCACTCATTCTCAGATGAGTGCTCCCATCTCTGGAAACTGTTCCTCTGAAATGTCCATCAAATGTTGAATTTGGAAAACTTCAGGCAGTGGCACCAATTCAGATTTTTTTTGAAGGGAGGAAAAATTATGATCCCTGCCACCTCTCCCCCAAGCAAGGCCCCTGCTCATTGCCTGCTCTCCCACAGGGACCCAGGCCTCCCTCAGCCAGTTGCTGACAGGAGTCAAGTTCTTGGCTGACTCCCCTGTGCTCCACTGTAGAAGAACAGACTCTCCATGCTCCACATCACAACATCATTTGGCCAGGTTGCCCCTCCATCTAGACAGAAGGGTGGCCAGGCCAAATTTGAATAGTCCAATCCCATGCACAAGGTTGCAAACACCACTCACTGACATATGGTCAAGTTGCTTCTCTGTCTGATTTAGTGTGGAACCACTGCATAAAAGTGGTTGGGTCATGGCCGCTCTACTCCTGGGCTTTGCAGCCTATGGAACTTAGAGCAAGTGCAAAACTCTTTGAGAAAGGGGGTTTGCCTCTTCCCCTTACCTTCCTAACTGTTGTCACTAAAGTTAGATCATATTGTAAAGCCACTTTTTAGTGAGGTTGGTAACAAACATATTTTTGGCTTTGTTTCCATTCTGTTTTTTGTCAGATGCTTTTTCTGTTTTGAGGGGATGATGTTTATATGAAGGGTAAGACTGTGTCTGAATGTTGTGTTCTGTCTGTATGTAATAATTATTGTATTATTGTTCTTATAGGGGCTATGCAAGGCAGTAAATAAATAAATATTTTTGTGCTAATATTAGAGTAGGTTAAGCTAGTAAAATAAGGCAAAACTTATTTCTGTGAAAGAGCTATTCTAAAGGTATTTTCAACCTATCTGGAGTCAGGTAACACAGGAATTCTCTCAGGTGAAACCCCTTTTTTGTGAGATACCCACCCCAATTTCCAGCCAAAATAGATTAAACTAGATAGACATCCATGCTTCTGGATGATTACCGGTATTGAATCTGTGAAGGTTTTCAGGTTTTTCCATCATTACTTCAAACATGTCAGTTTGATTTTTCAGTTAAAAAAAAATTGTGAAAGATAGGCCTTTACTGGCTGAGTTTCAAAAGTAGCATGACTTATGGTAATGCAGAAATTCCCAAATTGTGGTCTGTAGACTACTGGTGCTCTGTTGGCTCGTCTCCTTGCTTCTTGTTGAGTCAAACTGAACAGATGGGATGAGGAGACAAAATCAAGAACAAAAGTAGACAGTGTGATTAATTTTTTTCATGAAGGATAAATCACTTATTGCACTAGGGTCAGCTGAAAGTACATAAACACTCACCTAATCTTATTTTTTTGCATGTAAGAATTTGGTAAGGTTTTCACAGTTATGTTTGTGATCGCAAATAGGAGGAGAGGTTGACTGGGTGGTCACATATGGATGGGGAGGCAGTCTCTGTGAGACGGAGGTGATTTATGAGACATGCTCAGTCCTACTATATTCTGCAGTAGAAAGAAGTTTGAAAGTCCCTGCTGTAATGTAGTCTTGTTTTGGAGCTATTGATTTAGAATAGTTAACCTGTTCCCCTAGAAATCTTTGTGGAAACAAATGTAACACAATGTTATGGAAATAATAGTACAATCGGAATGCAGTAACTCTGAACATCTAATTTCTTTGAAGTGTACTTATGGAAGGTTTTGTTTTGTTTTTTAGTGCTCCTGGGAGTGGTCCCATGTTCAAGTCCACTACAGTTACTGTGAGAGATAATTTCCATGAAATTCCACAAAGTACTATCATAGACTCTTCTAACAAACAACAAAATTTCAATTGTACATTAATGCACAATGCACAGAATGCAAAAGAAGTTACTTCTAGTGCTTTTTCTGCTTCTGAAAGCGCAAGTAATAACAAATCTGACACTCACAAATTTGGGGATCAAGTTCAAGGAGCCCATGGACATAAAATAGGATTCTCTTTTGCTTTTCCTAAGAAAGCATCAGTGAAGTTGGAGTCCTCAGCTGCTGTTTTCTATGAATATAATGATGAAACATCTAGTGAACATGGATTTAGCAGAAGAAGTAGATTTGTTCCAGGAGCTTGTAATTTTCAGTTTCCATCAGCAACAGAAATAGTTTTGTGCTCTGAGGAGAAACAAAACTACATTCACCCACTGATGGAAAAAGGTACTGACACAGCAGAAGCTTCTGAAGTTCAGGAGTCAAAAGAACTATCCAATAAAGAGAATAATATAATACTAGATAATACAGTATTAGTTCCTGCTGATTCTCATTTGAAACAACCTGTGTCTTGTGATTTGGATGGCTATTGTGTTGATGTCAGTTCAACAACATTACAAGATCAATCATTGTCCACAGTTACCGTTAATAATCAGGTGCTACACGTAGAAAGTCACAGTTCTGAGAGGTTGGGAAAGAAATCCCCAGCTCTTGATATCACTGATGATTGCTTACCTTTGCAAGATATCACAGAGGAAAATGATAAATACATTAATAGTGAGTCATCCACAACTGAAGCAGAAATTAAAAAACTTGGGTCTGATGTACATATGTCATCAAATTCTGAAGGCGAGAGTACAGCCTTACAAAACAAACAAGAGACACATAAAAGACCTTGTGAACCATTTGTTCCTGTTCTGAGCAAACATGGATCGTCTGTTCTTCAATGGCCCTCTGAAATGTTAATTTACACAAATACAGAACCATCCATTTCATATAGCTGTAATCCTTTATGTTTTGACTTCAAGTCATCAAGAGCAAGTGACTGCATGGAGAAAACTAAAAATCAGTCAAATGTATCTCATTCTCATCACAAAACTGAGTCCAACCAGAGTCTTGTTTTAGATGACACAGGTAAATCTATTTCAGAATGTGCTGATTACAAAACAGAAATTAATAAAAATGCGTGCGAGCAAGCAACATCACTTATAACAGATGTTTTGTTAGCTAAAAGCTGTGAACCTGCAACAAATCAAGATAAAATGTGCTTGGATGCCTCTTTCAGGACTGGAAAAACAGAAAAATACCACATTTCCAAAGGCCATATACGACAGGACACCGTGATAGATGATAAACACAACAAAGTCTGGAACAAAGAAACTCACAAAAGATGGTTTCACACAAATAGGAAAAGGAAAAGAAGGAGAAAATTATGTCATCACCATCATGAGGAAACAGCAAAGGCAGATGCTGAAGTTTCTTCAACAGCTGAACAGGAAATTAATTATGTCAATGAAGAAAAACATCAGCACCTTCAGAATACTTCAGGGAAGTGCAGAGATGAAATTGGAAGCATATGGTTAGCTACAGAGCAGTTACAACAGTCATGTCAAAAACTTGGCATTGAAAACAGCGCTCACAAAAGAACCATGTCCACATCAACACACATACATGGTGACAAAGGCCCATGTGGGACTTGGAACACAAAAAATAGTGATGACCACTGCATTGGCTCTGAACCTCTGCACAGAAAGTACAAAGCAAACTCTCATAGGCAATCAAAACAACTGACTTTGAATTCGGGAAGACATAACTTAATGTATTCTAGAACATTATGTAGCTGTAAGGTCAGAAGAGCTAGCTGTAGCCCAGATCATAAATGTTTGGAAAAATGTACAAGTCAAAGCCAGTCCATCAAGAGAGCCTACAACTTTCTGACTGATGAACCTGAAAGATCCGATCGAAAGCGAAGACAACATACATATTCTTGTTCATCAGATGAAAGTTCATGTAGACAAGCATTTTTATCAGAAGAGTATCTCAGGCAAACAAGTAATTTAGCTGCACATTGTAAGCCTAAAAGGAAAAGAAGGAGAAAAAGATCTAGAACCCATCACATATTTGTCAACAAAGAACCAAGAAGAAATGAAAACCATAGACCTCCCAGAGGCAATTCTACATTAAATATTTTGGGGGAACTGTTAACTCAAGAAAATATACAACAAACAAAAACTCAACCCATAAAAGATTATACAGAAAATGTGGTGCAAACAACACAGCTCGTAGAAAACAAGTTCACTCTACAATCTGATTGTTTACTTTTATCAGAAAGTAACAAGTCAACAGAGTGTTCAGCAGTGGAGAGCTCTCCAAGTACATTTTTGGAGGACTTCACGCATTCCTCTGCTTCTGTTATTGAACATAGTATTCTGACAACTGCAACACCAGAGAACAAGCTAGAAGAAGAAAAGAAACATGAAAATGTAAGGGCTCGTAAAAGTCAAGCTCCTTATAAAGTGCCCAGTATTGACAGAAATGTGGAACAAACTCCTCGTAAATCATATCTATGCCAATATGAAGTAGCAGAGACCATACCACAAGAAAAAATAAATGACCCAACCAGTGAATGGCTGCGGTATAATTCAGGCACATTTAACAGCCCTCCACCTTTGTCATTCAAAGAAGCACATACAAATAGTCATACCTTTTTAACCACTGAACAGATACTTGCCCCATTTACATTGCCTGATCAGACATTGATATTTCCCCCAGAAAACCATGGAAAATTCAAAGACTTGCAATTTGAGGCCTATCAGCAGCTCATGCAGCAAAACATGCTGGCGAACAAGGTGAAGTTTGCCTTTCCTCCCACTGTAATCCAACCTTCTAATTCTCCTCTGCAGCCTTTGCCCTTGCAGCAGCCATTATGCTCTACCTCTGTAACCACAATCCATCACACTGTTTTACAGCAGCATGCTGCCGCTGCTGCCGCTGCTAGTACATTTAAGGTTCTCCAGCCTCACCAACAGTTTCTTTCACAGGTCCCAACCCTATCAAGAACACCTTTACCTCATCTTGCAGTAGGACCTAGACTTTGTCCAGGAACCCACACAACTTTTGTTGCTCCACCACAATTGCCACTAATTCCAACTTCTGTCCTTCATCCGAGTCACCTGGCTTTCCCCCCATTACCTCATGCATTGTTTCCTTCGCTCCTTTCACCGCACCCAGCTGTCATTCCATTGCAGCCCCTCTTCTAGGTCAAGTTTTCAACAATCAAAATGGAAAGAGTTGTCTCCAAATGAACATACTGCTATAAGTAACCACTCATCAGTTTTGACAAATGGTTCTTTAAGTGACTGGGATAAACTGGTTAAAATGCCTCATTAATTTTGAATCATTTACTATAAGTGTAACAATGCAAATATGTATGTAAAGTTCAGCTCCATAATATAACTAAAGCACTGAATAGTCTGATACTAATATGAACTATAAATATATGAAAATCATGTCTTAGAATATGTATAATGTATATAAAATATATTTATAGTATTGTAATTTATGTTGTAAAGTATGCTCCTTTTGTTTTTTTAATCTTTGTGAACTTGCACCTATTTAATGTTTAGACAAAGCTGATGCACTGTTTTGTACTATGTTTCTTGAAACTGTAAATCTAGTGACAAACTATCTCTTGCAATAAATTTTTTGTTAACTATTTAAGTATATCAAAAATCATTCATTGTAAGCCTCACAGATGATGGGTTTCAGCACTTGAATAACATAGCCTACTCCTGCTATGTTTGGATAATCAGCTTTCCTATCATTCAATGATTTATCACCAAGCTCAGAGGCTAACGCCTTAAGGGTAACTGTCTTACCGAGCCAGGGACAAAGGGTAATAGATCTATTTGTGTTAGCAGTTTGATGTCACTGAGACAAATTTTGTCTACTTGTAGTATGCGGACAAACTGCTGACTGTTTGAGACGCTCTCTTTTCTATTAAACCAAAACCAACTCTTTTAAAGTAACATAAATAACATGGGGGAAAAAGCAAGGACATTTGGAGTAAACTGCATTTAGCTTCTTCAGCATAAATAGCACTACATTTCCTGCCAGATGTCATCCACATCTGCACATATGCGTGATTGAAACCACCAAAGTTGTTTTGCCATTTTGCTTCTGCAAAACCCACATTTCTACATGGAAATGGAATAGCTGGTCATGCGACCTGCAGTGTGTGCAGGGGAGCAAGGGGGGGGGTGCCCTTTTTGTGAGTGCAATTTATTTTATGCCTAAAAATAGGCACATTTAAATGGTGATCAATTCAGAAAATTTAGCCAAATAATTACATTGTTCCCTTGGTGGACACATAGCTCATGTTTACCTCAGTGGGAGACAAACAAGCATATCAGAAGGGAGAATGTTGCCACTTGTGTATCATTTCATGTGATAAGTGGAAATGGCAAGGATATTTGGGCATATTTGAACTGAGGAAAGTTACAACCCTGACTAGGAATTTCCAATCTTTTAAGCGGTTGAATCAAACCCTTACTATCACATTAACAGTTTTGTCTGAATGTTTTCATATTGTATGGTTCTAATAGCATTTTGTCAAATATATATATAAATTGGTCCTTCTGACATTCCTCTCTACTACCCCAATCCCCTTATTTAGGTCTGATCTGATCCAACTCTCATATAAGTCAATGGGAAACTTTCTGTTGGCATTACTGGAGTTGGATTAGGTCCATAATGATGACACGGCCCTAAATGTATATGGCCCTAGCCCAGCGACACTTTTTCACATGACCAGTCCCATTCACTGTAAATGGGACTAGTCACGTGGATAAAGAGGAGGGTTTGCAAAATCACTCATAGTGGTAGTAGCATACCCTCTTGTAATAAAATGTAAGGGATAATTTTGAAATTCATGTTGGCTTCCTTTCTTCATTTATATGATTATGATAAAATTAAGTAAAAGTGAAGCTCAAGGAAAGATAATTTTTAAAGAATATATTAAATAATTAATACCAACTTCACTCTTAAGAGAGAGTAAAATGGTATAAATATATTGTTATATTTGCCATCTATAATACTAAAACTTACCTCTGCCAATAAAGCAAATTTTAATATCATATTACATTCAAAAGCCATTTCAATCACTTTCAAATACAATTTTAAAGCTCTGGGTACACATATTTTACTTGTTCCAACATCTTGCAGGTATAGTACCATTGTAAAGAGGAAAACTATGTTGCTGTGCTAAAGGCTGGTACAAAGGAGCACTTTGATGGCCTGGTTTTCCAAGAGGCTGAGAGGTCACACATGGGTTTGTGGTAACAGGTGCTGCAGGTGCTGAGCAACTTTGAAAATCTAACTAAAAGATTTGTTGTTTTTTTAGTTTTCATCCCTCCAGTTTGTGGTTTTATGCCTAATTTTGTTTAATCTGGCATATGAAAAGGCTAGCTTAACGGCTAATGTTTTTTATGTTATGTGTGTGAAACGTATTTTTCCTGCTTTAATGGTTTTAGACTAATTTCTGATTTAAGTAACAATTTATATTTAACACATTGTTTAGGAAAGGTTAGGGGCAAAATAGCAATTTTATAACATTACAATTAGAAAATAATAAGATACTGTGGAAAACAATTATGTACAGTTTTATTAACAAGTTTTATGTTGCAGCTAGTCAAAATTTCCCAAATTTCAAATTTTCAACAAACATTTTCATCTAAAAATCATTTTTTGTTTTCAAAAATCCCCCAGATTTGCTACAAATTTTTCTACTAGTTCTATTTTATACTTTGGATTTTACACTTTCACTGGAATTTAGCTTAAATGTATTGTCTATTAAGGAATTTAACAGTTTTAAGATATTGCAAAATTATATATTATATACATTAACTGCATTACAATAGTGTATAAAGTTAACGGATATAAGTAAAATACCAATAACAAGAAGTACTGTAAGTACTCTTTATAGATTAATACGCTAAGAACTAGCACTGTTTTGTATATGTGACTTCAAATATAGAAATACAGAAATGTTTTCTAATATCAACGACTGAATTTCAAATTGAACAAGCTAAATTAAATTATTTAATAAATATTTCATGTGAGTTGCTATTGTATTACTAAATAATCTTTACTGGATACATAATCTAAGTGTAGTTCTGTATACTTGTAGAATGTATACTTGTATTTTCTGATTTTACTATCTCATTCTAAAGTTTGGAAATCTTTGCAAGTGCTGAATAATTGAAGACACTACGATTCCTAGATACACAACCTGCCAAGTTTCTTAAATCGAATTAATTTCTTTAGAATGTTCAAATCTAATCAGAAATGTTGCCTTTTAATGTTTTGCAGTTCCAACTCATATTGCCAACTTATATAATGATTGGAGTCTGATTCCAAGGTAAAGGAATAAAAATAAGTTACCATTCCTTTAAATCACCTGAGTTGTTGGAATTAATTTATCTTCAGATTGCAATGATAAACCTAAATTAGGTTATAGATTTTGTTAAATGGCTTCCCATTCCCAGAACAGCTACACAAAGAAATGATTGAAAAGTTAATATGTTCCACTGAGATGAGAAATGTGTTTTTTTCCTGTCCTTGGAAAGCAGCAATCTGTCCAGACCATGACCTTCCTGGAGGCATGCCATTTCTCAGGTAATATGTACCATAAAATAATGTTCTAAATAGGATTTTTCAAGCATTAAGAATCATAATCGTCTTGCATTGTTATAGGCATTTTAGACTAATTGTACACTTGCCTTTCTAAACTGTAAGTACACAGAACAGTTAAAATGCTACAATACATACAGAAAGCAGAAGAATCCAATTGTTCATTTTACTGAACTTAACCACAGATTATCCTAAATTTTAACTCTGCCTGAAAGGAATAAACTCACACGGGGTTTCTGTAGGAATGAGCAAAATGGTTTACAGATTGAGACATCTGATCCCCAGACAGTTGTAAAAAGCACACCTTTTAGAGCCTGATCGTGCACAATGCTGAACAACTGTAAGCTGCCGAGCACCCAGAAATGTAAACTGAAGTCACTGGGAGTTGTGGACACATCACCGCACAGTCTTGTGTGCCTAGTCTATTAGAGCAGTGTTTCTCAAACTGGGGTCGCCGCTTGTGTAGGGAAAGCCCCTGGCGGGCCGGGCCGGTTTGTTCACCTGCCCCGTCCGCAGGTCCGGCCGATCACGGCTCCCACTGGCCGCAGTTTGCTGCTCCAGGCCAATGGGAGCTGCTGGAAGCAGTGCGGGCTGAGGGATTTACTGGCCGCTGCTTCCAGCAGCCCTCATTGGTCTGCAGCGGCGAACCACGGCCAGTGGGAGCCGCGATCGGCCAAACCTGCAGACGGGGCAGGTGAACAAACCAGCCCAGCCCGCCAGGGGCTTTCGCTACATAAGCCGCGACCCCAGTTTGAGAAACACTGTATTAGAGGAAGATGAATGCATTGTGTGCATGCTTAAAAGCTCTTCAGTTTAGAAAGCATAAAATTTAGGTTCACATCATTATATTGGCATTTCAGAGAAAAAAGACAAAGGCTTAAAAGATAAAATTATACAAGGTCTCAACTATTGATGCTGCCCCAGCATTTGGAACATGGACTAATTTTATTCCAAACTTTCTTCACTCATCTCCATTCTTAAGGCTCTGGTTCAGCAAATTACTTAAATACATGCCTAACTTTGAGCACATTAATAGTCACATTGATTTCAATGGAAGTACTCATGTGCTTTAAGGTTGGCACATATGGTACTTAACTACTGAACTGGGGCCTACAGGAGATATCTACAAATTAGTATCCAGGAGAAATGCCAAAGTACATTTCTTTTCCTTTGTACATGCAATGGAGAAAGCAAGTGAATCTTCAGCTGTTAAAATCCAGCATTTCCAGCACTGTCTTGTTTCTTTTTGCCAGTGTTTCTCAAACTGGGGTCGCCGCTTGTAAACAAACTGGCCCGGCCCGCCAGGGCTTTCCCTACACAAGCAGCGACCCCAGTTTGAGCAACACTGCTCTTTGCATTCACATTTAACTCAATTTAACTCAAATTTAACTGAACATCAGAACCATTACATTTTAGGGTTTTAAATATGCTCATTCTACTGCTCAGTTACCTTCTCAATTTATCAGTATTGTAAAGAGAAGTTAAACAAATTGCCATAGTCCACATCAGTGTACATCTTTAACTTTACTGCAAAATGTTAGATAACGTTACTTGGAACAATTTACCTTTCTTTTCTGCTGCCCTCATTTTTGACTCCAACTGTCCTAATTTTGAGACTCTTTTAGGGATTCATAATACTGGTAGTCCCACAACCATGGGAGATTTCTCTCAAAGGAGCTCTCATACTCTTACAGTGTGCAACGAAGCATCATTTATCATTCTTCTTTTTAGCTATTGGTATAGAGTGAAATCATGATACTAAAAAGTGGTTACTGTTGAAATATGAATATTCTATTAATTCCTGTATCAAAACTAGACTTTTTAAAATTATATTTTTTATTCTTGGGAGAGTTTCTCATACAGAGTGCTGGTCCCAGCATCTATTTCCCATACATATTTCAGTTTAGTATATTGTGCTTGCTTTTATAAAACTGCATAGCTTCCCAAAATGCTACACCTTGCCTTCAGTACATTTTCTACAGTGTCTTTCCCCAATGTACATATTTTAGCAATATGGTCATATTTATCTGATAGCGCCCTGTATTTAACGTATTGCTGTAAACATACTGGGCCAGCTCCTCGGCGGGCGGAGATCAGTGCAGCTCTGTTGGCTTCGATGGAGCCACACGGATTTGCTTGTGCTGAGGATTTGGATCACTGCATTTTATAAATCTCCTAAAACGTCCCAAATAAAAATGGAATCTAAGCAGTAAATCTGTAACACACACATTTCTAGAGGCTGCTTGTTTGTAAGGAAGGCTTATAAACTTTAACCTGTTGGTTATTTTGTTCTAAAGTTCATGAGCTGTACAGAATATACTGATTTGCATTGCTGTATATTGCTCAGTAATTGTACATATGCAAACTGTACCACTTCACATGTATATGCAATATGTTGTCTTATTGTAAAATTTTACCATGTTATTTTAACTCTTTTTTCTATTGAAATTAGAGATTTTTTTATAAAATATGATATACAGTACTGTACAAATGTCACTAATTGTATAAATTACATGACTTATTATATAATATGTACACAGAAATTTTGTAGATAATTTGGGTTTATTATATAATATGTACAGAGAAATTTTGTAGATAATTTTGGTTTAACGTTTACAGTAACTATATACTTAAATATTTTATTTATACTATTTCTTCTCTTTACTCCTACTTTGAATATTTTATAAAGATTTGTTAATTTCCTTTCTTTGTCATTTAGTGACATCAAAGTTTCTTAGAATTTATATTTGCAAATAAAATCTAAGTCATTCCCCATTTAATTGTAAAAATAAATATACCCACTGTACCAATTCAAAGACTTCTCATTTGAGTTTAAAGCTTTTACGTTTATAGATGTCCCATGTGCTCAGAACCCAGATGGAGTTTTACTATTGACTTCTACAATGGAGTTGTACCATTAGCTTCAATGGGGATGGAATTTCAGCTGGGTGTTTAAAGAGGGCTCTTTATTTACTAACTCCACTAACATATTCACTGTTTTCAATTTAATTCCAATTTAATATGAAATAAAGAAGAGCACAACTCAGTAAAATGATTAGATACATTTCTACGTTATTATTTTATCTCTGTTGGTGCAAAGAATGGATCTGGAGTTAATTGTCAAAATCCTTTTAATTTTTAATTTTTCTGCATTATACATCATTGTGGTTTCAAAAACAGATATAACCATTGTCTATCCTGAGTCACAAAGAGTTAAGTGCTTGTGCAGCTAATAAAATGCTGGGCTTTCTCTCCATCCCACTTGATTTCTGAGTCGTTACTGAGCATGACAAGATTCATACAGTATTAAGATGGTGTGAGGCAGTGGGCACTTTACAGTGACACAATCACAGTATTTAAATATCTCATTTGTGTCGGGTCAGGGGCCTGGTGCACAAATCCAAAAAGAAGAGCATTCACTAAGTTGCAAATTTTAGTAATGCGCAATGGATCTTCCATTACTTGTGTGAATTAGAAGATCAATTTTAAATTAAAAAGGTTGTTGCGGCACTGCATGTCTGATAGCTTTAAAAAGGGAGGACACTGATTTCAATTTTAAAAAAGAATACAGAATGGATAGGAAAGCATTTCTGAAAATTGATTTTTTTTCCTATTTTGAAATAAGCACCCCTTCACAGTAAAGATCACTCAAGCAGGCAAGTTTTGGACCTTCTAATCATCCCTTATATTTTACACACATTCCTTGCGGCTCCAAAGCAGTCATATGAGGAAGGTTCAAGAATAAAACCTAGAAGAAGAAAGTTCTGTTCTAAATGGCCTGATCACCCCCTCAAGCTGGAATATATCAGAGGAGTAACTCAGTTTAAGTTAATGGGGTTACACTGGTGTGACATTGGTGTCAATGAAAACTAAATCAGACAGGAAGTTTCACTTGAAAAAAAAATGATAAAACCCAGCAATATGAGGGAATGTGACCCCAAAAAACCTACATATAAGGGATTCTTAGAATCTGTGATTATTAGGTCATTTCAGCTCTGGCAACCTATACTATACACCAACCTTTATTCCCTTTTTCATAAGGGGCATTAATGGTGGTTATGGAAGGGAATGTTTGTAGAAGAAATGAAACCATAATAAGAGACATACAGGGTGTGTGGCTATGAAAGGAAAAGGCCAGAAAAATCCACATCCCAAAATGTATCAGCTGCTGGTGGAAATATCACTGTGAATAGTAGGGTGGGTTTTAAATATATATTCTAACATGCACATAGGGACAGATTATCACTGCCTCACTTGCAACTGATGTGATTGAAACCCTTCATTGGCTGGCTGTCTTCAAGTATGTGAAGGGTGTTGACATGGTCAGAATAATGAAAGGGAGGTGACTGTATTGTGTGATATATACTTCTATTTCAGTGGAATGATAGTTTCAGATAGCTTTTGGTGCTTATCTGTATTTTGTACATTTTTCTCTTTCACATTAACAGTGCTATTTTGTTTACCAGCTGTGCTTTCTGCTAAAATGTCCTCCAACCAATTCTTGTCAAGAAGAGATAGGTTAATGAGAGAAGACCTGCATACAGTTTGCTTCAGTTTTCTCTCTGGAGAAATAATTCAATAGAACTACATTTCAGTGTACAACTTCTCTGTCATCTTTCTATTTCGTAAGTTGTTATTCTCTACAAGCAGAACAAAAAAAGAAAAGGAAAAAAAAGGCCCTTTCATCTGGCAACATCAGTATACATCTGTTCTAGGGCCTGGGTGCAAAGGAAATTCTCAAAGAATTAATTGTATTTTTTACAAAGGTGTTATTGATAGGTGGGAACAATGTCACTGTCACTGCATATTTTTGTATTCTTGTCTACTTAAGAACAAAGTACAGCCAGTTTAAAAGTAGCATATGAGTAAAAATAACATGAAAAAAATGGCATTAGGTAGTTGAATAGGACATTTAATTGATAAGTTACTGTACAGTATGTTTATGATTTTAAAACAATTATTTTTTTTAGTCAGGTGCTTTACTGTCTTATTAGACACAGAGGTCAGCACCTGGCATGCAGAGTTCTCTATGCAAAAAGGTTTTCCATGTTGGAAACATTAAAAAAAAGGGGAGGGGGGTATGTAATTGGATAGGCATGGAGTTGAATTACACTCTCACTTTGAGAGGAGTTTGCATCTCATGCGCATTAGCGGAGATACTTTGGTGGAGCAGTGTGCAGAAGTTTCATTTTGATGTTGATCTGTTGCTGGAAGCCCAGATGACATATGGAGATACGGGACTACTATGCTGTGGCTGAGTTACATGGTCATATCAAAATGAGATCATACAAATGAACAGTCTGAATATGTGCATTACGGATTCATGATTGTTGCAGCATTTCTACCAAATGTTTGATTTACGTAGGTAGAGGAATTCTATGAAGTCAGGATGGTGTCCTGCCATCCTGTCTTAGGCAT